TATCAATGGTGAAATTCAGGCACCGCCTCGCAATCCATTTAATTATGCTTTATGCCTGGATTGTGCGTGTTCTTGTAACTACTGTATCTTACTTGATCCTTGAATGCTTTTGAATAAAACTGGGTTGTAAGCACAGCTCTTTATTATTGCTTAAATTTGCCTTCACAATACGTGCGTGAGCCATTTATCTGTGTTCCAAAAACACTTGTAACTCAACACAGATTTTAAATAAAATATTTTATGGTGAGTCTCAACTCTGCTTTTGTGGCAAAAACATTTCCTAACTCAATATATGCTCTACGGGAGCTTTATGATGGCAAAAGTAAACCTACTGGAAAATCTACCTGGATAACTGCATGACACAAAACCTAGTTTCATATTTCTCTCTCTGGGCTACAGCTGTTTTTAACCACATGAAAGAGATGCTGGATATATTTTCTGTATGAAATCTATAGTGGAACACAGGGATCTCAAGGTAGGAGTACAAAGTACCAACACTTCCCCACTTTACCCAGAAAACTAAGTGACTCAATGGCCATGCTGAAATGTGACAATTGGTCACAAATATGCATTTTTTTCTGTCTAGAACCCTAAGAGTCTCACAGCAGCTGTTACAGGCTGCTGAAATCCAAGGAAATTATTTTACAGGCACCAGTGGGATATTCCTTACTGTACTACTTCATCTATATATTTCAGGCAGTTGCCAGCTCCTCCCTCACTGGTCATGTACTTGAAAATGAGATACAGGACTAACACCCATCACGGAGCAAATTGGGAAGTACACAAACAACCTAATGCAGCAGCCCTGAAACAGCTTAAGGAGATACTAACTCTGAAACCTAACAAAGTCACATGAAACCTAAAAAAGTCACAAAAAGATCAATATGATTCCGACTGTACTGCAAGGAAACATGGATAGAGGTAGCAACTGTGTAAAGAATTTCAGGTAACTGCTTTCTTCGGCAAAGCCGTCTTTCCTGGGTGGTCTAGGGAAAGATCATTCCTTGCTTCTCTCCAGTTCCACCTGTCCTTCTAGTTGCCCTTTAAAAGCATGACTAGAATCAATTATCTGAAAGACCAACAGACACGTACAATAGTTTGTCCTGTAACTAGTTTAACAAAACAATGTAGAGTAATAAGCGCCTTGTGATTACAGCTTCAAATTCTCCAATCTTGTGCTGCAAAACTTACTTTACATTTTATTACAATCAAATAATATATCACTGAATTACAGTTTCTATCTATTTATTTACAGTGCAAGCAGAATATGACCTGGAAGAGATTAATGGAAAACAAAATAAACAATGGCAGGTGGATGAGAAGCTACTTCTTTCACAAACAAAGGTGCAAAGAGCATTCTCAATAAGCCAGGAAAGCAACAAACGTGGTTGTTAGAGAATATTTATGGCAGCGGCAACTGTGTAACATCACTGAAGCATGCACAATGGGAGCAAGCTTTCTAGAAAATATATCTACAAAAGAGACATGCAATTAGGTCTAGCTATCAATCATCTGGACATGCAAATAAATCTATAGTCAGTGGTCTATGTTCTGTTAAAATCAACTTCTACCATACAGAAAACTTGCTGCCCAGTAAATAAAACGTAAGACCACAGAAGATAAAATACGTTATACATATATCACAGTATCTTGACTACTAGACCACCAAAGGTTTGAATATTTAGATTTCACAGAGAGTAAAGTGTATTTACAATGACTCCTTCTATTCTCTTGTTATATAGGTTTAAAATCCCATCACACTCAAACAATCAGATTTTTGTGTGTTTGTTTGGGGTTTTATTTCATTTTATAATTCACGTTCTTTAAATCAGTGGTTACTGATCCACAAGAGCACATCTATATGGACTATTTAAGTCTCCTCTCCCCTGGAAGTGTGTGTATAACTCCCATTAATGCTAATGGGCATAAAGCACACGCATTGAGGAGAAAATAGACCCCTCACTGTGAAAATAAATGTGTTCAGTTATTTTCAGACACGATGCTGAAATCAAACAACTAAAAGTACATACTCTAAGGAGATAACATTATATAGCCTAACTGAAAATGTCACCATTATTTTTAACTCCCTGATTATGGACCCTGACACATTCTTTAGGTCTCTGCCATTTCTTGTGTCATAAAGACTATGACTGGGTAACATAGCAAAAAGGGCCAAATCCTAAATACTTACACAAGCAAGAACAGCCTTGATCTCACACTCCTTACCTTCACAAAGGATGCAATGTTAGGCCCTGTGTCTTATGGTTTCACTTAGGCAATAAAATGTTTTCTCTTTACACCATGAGTTAATAGCAGCAGTAAACTTTACTGTTGCAGAGTTCCTCTAAACTGCGATGAACCTAACGAAGTAAAAATTCTTATTATTTCAATTTTTTCCTTAATGATTTGATATCTGGGCGTTTTCTGCTCTAATCAAAATTCATGGAGTCAATTATTCTGTGCTCAAACAGGTAAGAACAACTGCTTATACAGTAATGTGAAACTCAAAGACTCCATGCTTTATTATAACACAAATGTAATCACAATATTTTTATGATGGAACCAATGTTTTATGAATTTACAGCTGACCTAATGTGATATTTGGAACAGTCATGAGACAAGAAAGGTTTTAAAAAGGGTGCAGTGTAAGTAGAGTATTAATGGTTTCGGTGAGTATATTTAGGGTCTTTGTAAAGTTGCCTGCTGACTTTCTAATGCAAGTAATCACACCCATCTTCCCAAATCAGAGAGATGCACCTTCAAACAAGTGGATGCTACTGAGTTATCAGTCAGGCAGGGATGAATTCTTCCAGTGATGCCGCCTTTTCAGAAGTTGGTGCTGTAGGAGACGGGTGGAGTGCTATTGCTGAAAAGTCAACTGCTGCAGCTTAGTGCCAGGCTTTGCAATGCTGCTGGGTCCAGTATGAAAGCTAGGTGCTGCCAGGCGCCGCTGTACAGTCCAGCTCCCAACCCCTCACACCCCGCCACATGCTCACTCATCTGTTCTCACACTGAGTTAGCACATGGAGAAAAATACCCCAAGGAAAACAAAACAAACCAATAAATAAACCAGTACTTCTCTGCTGATCTATCTCCCTCCACACAATGTCAGTGGTGACAAGCACTGCTGCCACCACAAAAACTGGGTAGCAATGGGTTTGGTTGGGGATGGATTGCTGGCAGGGGGAGAAGTACTGCCCCTTTTAAACTGTCAGACCAGCTCCATCATATCCCAGAATCAAACCCATACGAAAAGGGCAGTCAAAGCAGGACCCCAGCCAAGCCAAGGAACTGGCCAGTATCCGCACACTGAAGTAAAGTGAGAGCCTTAAAGGCTGCCATATTTCTGCCAGAAACTTCCAAAAGTGCATGTGCGTGCTGTGAATCCCCCATGTGTCATGCCTGAGGACAGCCAAGCATGGAACAACTCACCAGAGAGCTCTTTATGGACTGGCACAGAGGGTTAATGACTGAAGAGGCTGTTACTCACTGTACGAGCCCTCAGTTCCATGCTTTTGAGCTGCAATGTATTTCTGCACCTCACTTAAGGTTTTATAGTGAGAAGACTTGTGCTGGAGGATATATGAACACTCTTCTTTTTTAAACCAGAAAAAGCCACTAGCAACACAGCAGCCCTGGTAGCATCTGAAGCTGCTGCAGTCCAGACCAGCTCTCCTAAATTTAGTATAGGAATTATTGCAGCCTGCCAAAATGATCCAGGCAACAAATTAATTAGCTCCTTCATTCATTACTGAAGAGGAGGAGAGGTGGCAATGGCCCATGACCTGTCAACAGCCATGTGAATGGACATCCATCTGTCTGTGTAAGTGTGTATGGAGCTGAGCTGGAGACACAGGGGCTCTGCACAGGCAGGGCATGCAACACCTGTGAAGCAGAACACTTTATGTAACACTGACCTGGACTCACAAATAAATACTGTTGAATAACTCTCTTTTGTTTTTCCTTTTCCAAGCAGTAGAAGCCTGTCTTTCCTTCTGATCTGATTGTATCAATGTGACTCATTTTGCAAGTTGAAGTCTGATTTTTACAGAGGAAAGGCCAAAATCTCATACATTACTACTTCTGCACAGAACACTAAATCTATATTTTCCTGTGTGAGCTTGCAGGGATAAACAATCCTATGAATGATTTGGTGTATGATATGCAAAAAGAGACATTTCTACAGCCTGTCTAGACTCCCAAACAAGATCAGACTGTGCTGTCATCAAAGACATTTCCACAGTTTGTTGTATTATTTGTAAGACAGAAAAACCACCTTTTCAGAACAGTCATGCAAAAATGAAAAATAAGTAAAACCAGCCTGACCTGCCAGTGTCATAGTGGGAACCTGAATGTGGTAACCTTAGACAATTTAGAGATTATGATAACAATATGGCAAGAAGTTTCAGCAAACATTTCTGAGGAAAGGCAACTCCTGCACAAGTGAATGTAATCCAAAAATATGAGTCATGCACAAGCAATTTTGCTATGGGCCATAAAATCACTTTATGAGAGTTACAGATAATTCTGTATGTATTCTATAATGTTTCCCTACTGTGTAGAGATGGATATCTCAGTATCCTATCACAGATAATGATGGAAAACAAATTCTCTACATAAAAGCTGATTGCTCAGAGATTCACCCTTAACTGTTCCAAGGGATTGTAGTACCGACAGAACACTTTATACTGTATTCAACAACAAAGAAGTAGATTCCATCAGTGCCAAACACACTGCAGTTTGGATGTTTTTTATAAGATGCAGCAGGGTGAATTGAGAGCAGTCTTAGACACAGAATACGCATCCTGCTATTTCTCAGCACCTACATACCCTTTATCACACAGGCACCTACTATCCTCCACAATGACACCTCTCACTTCATGGCTTATTCTTTGGAGTTATCCTATTCATGTGTAACGATACATGATCTTTTCTCAAAGTTGGATGTAGCATTCTCCAGAAGCCAAGCTTTAAAGAAAACCCCAAAGCAATAATAATACCTCTCCAACATCATAGATCCATATGCGGCCTTCTGAATCACCAACAGCTACCTCCTTCCCAGCCTGGGCCCAGCGGACACGGTTGAGGGCAGAAGCTCCTTCTATGGTGACGCTGGCTGTGGGAACCTGTTGAAACAATAGGAGCAGGAAGGACAATGCAATCAGGCTGCCTGCAAACCCGGGGGTCAATCCTGAATGTCCTGTTTAGATGGGTGAGTCATAAGTCCCTTGGCATTGCTGGAAGTAATATACAACCATCGGTAGGGAGTGGGGGAAAAAAAAGGGTTCATTGTTTCTTTGATCACATGTGCTAAAAAAGAGGAAAAAGTAAGAGACTGCTTGGAATGAGCAGAGAAGACTTTTCCGCAGTAAAGGGCAGTAAATGAAAGAGATTTTTCCCTTTAACATCAGAAACACGTGAAACCATGTCTCCTTTCTCTAAAGTCATGGAATCATAGATCATAGAATCATAAAATAGTTAGGGTTGGAAAGGACCTTAAGATCATATAGTTCCAACCCCCCTGCCATGAGCAGGGACACCGCACACTAAACTGTGTCGCCCAAGGCTCTGTCCAACCTGGCCTTGAACACCGCCAGGGTTGGAGCATTCACAACTTCATTGGGCAACCCATTCCAGTGCCTCACCACCCTCACTGTAAAGAACTTCTTCCTTATATCTAATCTAAACTTCCCCTGTTTAAGTTTAAAGCCATTACCCCTTGCCCTATCACTACAGTCCCTAATGAAGAGATCCTCCCCAACATCCTTATAGGCCCCCTTCAGACACTGTAAGGCTGCTATGAGGTCTCCATGCAGCCTTCTCTTCTCCAGGCTGAACAGCCCCAACTTTCTCAGCCTGTCACTGACTTATGACCAAGAACCAACTGAGGGTAGGCTTTGGCTTCAGTCCTGCTCTGGCTTCTGGCATCTGACTTGGGCCCAGATAACCTGCTGGTCAGCAGACACATCCCTGTATTTGTGCTGACGCATCCTTTAAATCCATACTCACTTCTGTGGCTAGATGCGGAGGTTGAGACTTAAGTACTATGTCAGAAAAGTCCTGAGCTAATCACTTCAGAGTGAGGACACAGCAGCAGTGAGAAGAGCTGAACTGACATTTAGGAACTCCTACAATATGTTCCCACAATTCTCTTTTACATCCCCAGGAGACTTCTTCTGTTTTAAATACAGCTGGATGCTGTCTAATTTCCAAACCCCCTCCCCGCCCCAAGTCAACCAACTTAACAGGTGATCCACAAGAATACATAAAGATTCTGGTTAATGCGTGGGACGAATAAAGCAACGAACACGTTCTTAGGAGAAGTATTTGTAATCTACGCTGGAATGAGGGCATCAAAAGATGCTGCAGGAGGAAGGAACTGTGTGGGTGTTTGTCCCACATAGGCAGATCACTCAGCTGATTTAGGTCACCTCACAAGACCAGTGATGGTAACTTGCAAGTCTGCTAATGCTCCACCCTGCTGCCTTGAATAGGAGAACCTGGCTGAGCAGGGAGCCTGTAGCTTGGCATGACGGTCTTCCAGAAAGGGCTTTTTAGCTTTAATACTTTTTAGCCCTAATACTTTTTAGCTCTAATGTTTTTTACGTCAAGGCAAACAGGACAGGATAACTGCAAAAACAGCTCCTCCACCATCTGTGGGAACAGATCTCAGTCACAGGGTGAGATGGGGAGAAGGGAGTGTCCTGGGATCTATAAATGGACATGGAATTGGAGAGCAGGCAAGAAGAGGTCAGGAACTGGAGTCAGGGCTACCTTTGAGGGAGTCACTCCTTCTGTCGTCACTGTGGGCACAATGTCACAGAAGCAGGAAGAAAGTAGTTTGAAGGTGGTATTAAAGCCTGGTCTAAACATTGACAAACCGACAAGATTAACAAAACCAGTATTTTGCTGACTTCATCTCAGTTCTCCAACTGTAGTTTTATATTGTAGTTGTGAGATCGATCCAAAGATACAGGAGAAAAATAATTTTAAAACAAACATTGTATAGTTCCCCTGCCAATCTCCTCAGCTTTAATGCCTTCACTGTGTCCCACAAGAGGAGGGACAGTCAGAAGCTGAACCTTTGCAGACCTCCCAGGACCCTTGTAATGGCTGCAACACGTGCACAGCCATGTCAGCAGCAGTACCAGAACTGCAGGGCTGCTTGCTTTGCCTCTCTCTGCCTGAAGACTCCCTGATCCTCCTCCTCCTCACTGACCCTGACATAAGGCTGCAAAACCAAACTAGCACCTCTAGCACAACGAGCCTGCCAAGCCAAGCATCACCTCTGCTGAGGGCTTCATGGTAGCGTCCTGAGCCCAGCATGTGAAACACAAGAGGATATTGTTTGCAGAATGATGTAGAAATAATGCTGGATAGCAATCAGAAAGCAGATACCATCCTCCTCCCTCCTTTAAGGAGTCATTCAAATGCAAATAAGCTACTGGACTCAAGGCCTAGGTCCTGTCCAAAACAGCATTACCCAAAAAAGCTGGCACCCTCTAACTCCTAGACCCAAGTCTGTTACTGCTTAGTTGGGTGAGAGTCAAAGGCCTAAATCTGACATGGGGTCACTGATCCATGATAAAATCACAGCAGAAAACAAGCAAGTTTTACTCCTGT